ACGACGAACAACAGATTCTACAATATTCGTAAGCTGGTCAGCAGGCAGATTAATAGTTTCTGGAGTAACGGTAACTTTATTTTTCTTATCAACAGCAGTAACGTCAGAAGCAATAGCACCAGCAGAAAGAGATATTTTTTGGAACCATTAATAAGTATTTGTTTTTTTTTTTTTGGTTACAATTAGCAATAATTTCTTTCGAAATTTAAACTGTTCACGTGAAAATATAACAGAAACTCGCAAATATTATGTGAACATTGTTTTCTTTATTCATATGTAATCCTAATAAAACTGAATTTTCCATGTTGCTATATGAACAAAACACTTTATCTCTAAAAATGAACTTTTGAGAAAATTTTTATACATATACTAAAGCAGGCTTTGATATTTTTTCTTTAAGTTGGATAAACTGATTTGATGATTTAGTTTTTTGTCTGTCAATAGTCTGATTGACATTTGCTTTGAGCTGGATTGCCACTTTTCTACTTCATTTATTAGATCAGAATTATTAGACGCAATTGTTTAATCAAGCAAAGAAATGTTTTAATTTTGTCAGCATAGATAATTTGTCATTGTGACAGATTCACAGATCATTGCGACATTATTTAAAAAGGAAATACCTAAAATAGTTTTACTGCAACAAAAAATTGCAATAAAAAGATGTTTTTGCAGTTTCGAAAAGACAGACCCGATCTTTCTTTCGAAGAAGTAACTATGAGGGTCTCGAACATATTGTCTGTAATGTAAAAATACGCTGGAAAATATTTTTTAATTTTTTTTCTCATAGGTGGGAACATCAACTGTGGCGAAAGTTTTATCAGCAGGGGACCAAAATTTAAAAACATCTATCTGGCAAGCGAAAACCAACGGATTTCTTTACAAATTATATGTTTCGGAAAGACCTGCAACGACAAATTTGGCAACTTAATGAAAAAAACGAATATTTCACTGTAGATACTCTTTTGGCATATTCTAGGGAACAGTTGGAATTTAAAGGGGGGCGAACCACATTATACAAAATTCTTAAGTCAATGGGTTATAAACACAGGGAAGTAAATGGTTGCAAAATTCTATGTGAACAAAAACATGTCGTTGCAGCCAAAATTACTTTTTTCTACTCCTATATATGAAAGTAGACTTTTTCCCATCGTTTACCCTTAACGAAAACATCATTTTCACTTCTAGAAGTGAAAATACTTATTCATTCTAGAAGCGAAAGTAACCATGGACTGCTATGTGAAAAGTGAAAATTTAAAGTTTAAATCCACTGAAAATTTAAGTATCTTTTTTTTAATTTGATCAACTATTAAGAAATGAAATATGACTACCTGTTTAAATTGAAACTAAATTGATTAAAACTGATTAATAAATTTGAATAAAAATTAAACAAAAATGTTTGACGCAGCAAGATCTGCATACGTCTAAGCAACCAGTAGCGCTAGTCAAGTAGTCATATTGTTTATTCTACGTGATTGTTTTATTTCGTAATGACATATTAGGTTTCAAATTGTGTTCCTAATTTATTGAAAAAGAAAAGCCATGTCTGATTCAGAAGAATCGCGTAGTTCCACACCACCTTGTGTGATACAAGCAGCAGCATCCGCTTCAAATGATATCTTACCACAAAAATCCCAACAGAGATATCAGTTTGTACACGAAAAATTTATAACTTCGCGGAAGGACAACCGAGTGACATCTTTTTCCGAAAATGTCTTGATGGCTTATTTCGATACATTGTCAAACAGTCTGAAGCCCTCCACATTATGGAGCATGTATTCCATGCTACGAAGTGTAATAAGTCTGAAACATGATGTTGATATTTCTAAATACCTCAAATTAAAAACTTTTCTAAAAATGAAGTCGACGGGTTTCAAATCTAAAAAGGCAAAAGTATTGAATTCGGAACAAATTCAGTTGTTTATCGATAAAGCAAATGATGAAAAATTCTTGTTCACGAACGTAAGTTGAGTTGAGGTTGTGTTTTATGTTTCATACTAGACTATTTGAAGGTTGCTCTAATATTTGGGATCTGTGGGGCCTGTCGTTCACATGAATTAAAAGATTTAGAAATTCAAGATGTTCAAGATTTAGGAAGCGCTTTATTTGTGACTATTCCAAAGACAAAAACAAATTTACCTCGTTCATTTACAATTGTTAATACCCATTATAAAATCTGCAAGAGATACATCAATCTTCATCCACAAGGAATAGACAATACGACTCGTAGATTTTTTTTGAATTACCAACACAACAAGTGCACCCGACAAGTTATTGGAATTAATAAATTTGCATCTGTTCCAAAAGAAATTGCTAAATTCCTCGAATTACCAGATTCACAGTTATATACTGGCCATTCTCTAAGGAGATCTTCCACGACACTTCTTGCAAACACGGGTGCTAACATGACTGAAATAAAGCAGCACGGCGGATGGAAATCGAGTTCTGTAGCTGAACAGTACATCGAAGATTCGATTACTAACACAATTAATAGAGGGAAAAAATTTTTTGATTCATTACAGATTAGCAAAGAAAATATCGGAAGTTTACCACCTATTGAGGGTTCGTTGTCACCTAAGGAGACAGAAATAACAGAAGCAGAGGTTCCTCCTGCATCACATGCACTTGAAGACAATGTGCCTTCATCAATAATTAATAAAAAAGAAAATAATGCTAAAGCAGCAGGTGTTGTACATAATTATTATAACTGTAATTTTCAATATATTACAAAATAAAATTTCCTGAAATTTATATGTAGTTAGGTGTGTTTTTTGTCGTAGAAAAAATAGCATTTGCGACTCGAACTGAAAGTCAATTTTTTCGTTCGTTGAGTGTGTTACACTCGTCGCTGCGCGACTCGTGAAACAATACTCAACTCACGAAAAAAGTATGACTTTCACTTCTTGTTGCAAAATATACTATTTTGTGAACATATTTACAGTTTCTAAATTCTTGTGAAAATTTGACTTTCGTGTATTTGGATGAAACATGGATCTATCAAAATGGTTCGACCATTCGTCGCTGGGTGCACGATACTGATCTAAAAAGCAATCCCGCCAAAATTAAAAGTGATGGATCAAGGTTTACTATTCTCCACGCGGGTTGGTCAACGGGGTTCTTGGATGGTTGTAACAATTTTTTAAATTCAAGAAAAAACGATAGACTATCATAAAACGATGAACGGGATAATTTTTCAAAATTGAGTGATTAAGAAGCTCATTCCTGCTTTGGCAAAGTTGAACCAAAAATGTGTGGTGGTTTTAGACAATGCACCGTATCATTCGGTTCAGTTGGATAAACCATCCAATTTTTCTAGTAAAAAATGTGAAATGCAGGAATGGCTCTTTAAACATAGTGTTGAATTTGACAAAAAATTTTTGAAGAAACAGTTGTGGGATTTAATTAAACCCTTCAGAAACAATAGAAAAAAAAGATATTTGGTAGACGTGACATTAAGAGAAAGTGGCCATGAAGTTCTTAGATTGCCTCCGTACCATTGTCAATATAATCCAATTGAAATGGCGTGGGGATTTTGTAAGAACTATTACAACAAGCATATAAATTCTCAACCTTCATTAAAAAATAGGGTGGAGAATTTATGGCTTGAGGCGCTTTCTAAATGTACTCCAAGCATGTGGCAAAATGTTTGTAAACATTGTGAAAAACTTATTTTGGCAGATTGGGAAAAAAATATGGGAAATCTTTCGTACGAATCTATACCTCCTTTCATTATTTCGCTAGGTGAATCTGATTCAGAATCTGAATTTGAAAATGACGATGATGATACAGATTTTCATAGCGAAATAATGGAAATGGAGTGAAATGTAGCTTGTCGGGGGGTGATATTTTTACGCATCTTTCGTTTTAAATTTACCAAGGTAGTATGTGAAAAACTACCTGACGTACAACAAAATAAGTATAATTTTAGTTAGATCATCCACGTTGTTACTTTGCACCAAATTTTAAGCATTTTCATTTTTTTTTGTAACTCTTCATAGACCTGGAGAAGGCGTATAGTAACGTTCTTATTAATAAGCGTTTGGAAGTACTTAGTAAAAGCAAATAAAGAGAACTTACGTAAGTATTAATAATAGCTATATAGATAAATCATTCAATTTAAGGTCGGAAAAATGTTTCAGAAGAGCTAAATCCATCAAAGCACTAGAGCAAGGTTGTTGTCTTTTACCAACCCTTTTAGTAATCTTAGAAAAGTAAACAAGAAGTTGGAAGATATGGAAATAGGCTGTTCAGAAAGGTCGAAATTTCCATTTCTAAGAAGAGTGGGCGAGGAGAACGAACTGATGATTGAGAGTTAAAGATGAGATGCTAAATGTGGCATGCGACAATAGTCGTATGTAGAACCCCCATTCATATAAAAACAATGTTTAAGTGAAATTTTAGTGTTTGTTCCTTACATATGAAATAAACACTTACAAAAAGCCGAATAACTGTTTTAAATAGCGTAAAGTTTTATGCTTTCTAAGAAATGGATACCGTTAACTTGGACATTGCTACTGAAAACTGAAAGTATTGGCAACAATGTTTATATTTCTGGCATATTTTTTAACCTTTAATTTAATAAAACATAACCTAATGAAAAAAGTTCAGGGAATTTTTATTCTTCTACATCAAATACCAACAAACTCACTAGATTTTCATGGCCAACCCTACTATATAAAGATCGTGAACGGATAATAGCTTGCAAATGGCTGAGAAGATACGTGCAGATAAACAAAAAAGTATATTAAAAATTATACACAATCCAACCAAATAGTGACTGTCTATTTTTATCAGCAGCCCCTTTTCATCTGTAGCTCCTGTATTTTTTATTTATGTTTTCTCATTATTTAATTATAAATTTTTAATTCCAGCCTTTTGTTAATTGGAAACTCAAACTATACATGAAACTTTACTAAGGCAGTGTTTTAATTGGAAATGGATTATTTTATTTTATTGATAATTTCAAAAATAATAATTATTATTATTACATATCTTTAACTTACCACCATCCCAATTCCTGTAGTAAAAACCCCTGGATGCTTGACCACACAGTCCCCTGTCTTCAACATACACTTCACTTTGCCACATTGTGCACAAACCGGCAGCCTCTGCACACTCTGACAAAAGTAACAAAACGCTCTGCTCTTCTGTTTTCTAAAAAGCAACAAATCCACCCAACAATTTGACCAACCCAACACTTACCGATGGCATTTTTCACATTCCATACAGACGTTGCAAGGGTGCTGCGCCAAAGCCACATTATCTTTGGCAGTTCTAATTTCCTTTTGACGAAGCTTCTGCTTTTCGGCTTTTTTTCTCTGCCCCGTTTTCTTCTTGGGCATTTTTAGCGAGTAAGTGGAAGAAACATGAGGTTGACAATTAACGAAGTGACATAACCACACTTTCTGCTGGAGCGCGAAATTTAAATATTAGTTCCAAGAAGTGGACAACTTGGACATCTGTTTTTTGTAACGAGGCTTTAATTAGTGTTGATATGCATGAGTTTGTCACATAACATGTCACATAACCACACATTTTAATTGAAAAATTTAAAAATTAATCGAAAAAATAGCTGGATTCAATCCAGTCGCTGACTTTATCGCGTGGAGCCACTTCTGGTACAAAGTTGACTTGTTGCCGTTCTTCTTCGTCGTCTTCTTCCCAGATTGAGAGGAAATTGGCGGCTAATTCGCCTAAATTATCCTTGTGGTATTTTTTCTTGAAGTTATTGAGGAAATAATTGACTTTTTTTGGTTTTCTGGTAAATTTTTGGAAGCGTGTTTCATCCAAACTTTCATTTAAGCTAAATCGAGCTTCACTTAAATTTGCTACATTGGTAAGATGTAGAGGCTGAGAGTCGTTCGGTAAACAATTTATCCATTTATAAAGATTCTGACCTGGATCTGTATCATCAGAAGGAGGGTTTTTGCAAATTTGTTGCTTGAAAATGTCACCTGCAGAGTTGACGCAATAAAGAAATAAGTCTGAAAGCGAAAAAAAAAAAAATAGAAAAAATTCAAATTCTAAGATCATTACTACCATTATTGTGAGAAAGTAATTTTAGTCCTCCTATGGATTTTCGTAACCGTTCGCCAACTTGAGGTTTTAAAAGAATGTCCTTTTGTAATCTACATTTATCCAAAGTTTCCAAAATACTAGGAATAGTCACTGGTAAGCTGCTAATAGGGCACCCTCCAAATAAAACTTTTTCATTAGCTTTCTGACTACTCAAACAGAGAATATTATCAACTATATCCATGTAGCATGGTGATGATTTCATCAAGTGTGTACAAAATTCTACATTTTTGAGGAATCTGAGATCTGTCATCATTAAAAGATGCCTTGTGCTCAAATATACAACGTTATCACTACTTTTTACAGAACATAAGTAATTACAGTCGTTTACGTCCGGTTTGAAAAGTTTATAATTAGGGGCCCGTAAATCAAACATTTTCAGTTTTTTTTGCTCCAAACTGAAGATATTATTTTCATCAATAAATTCTACTCGAGTTACATCATTGAGATCATACACTGTCAAGTCACACTTTTGATGAGTTTCAATGTCATATAATTGAACCTTGCTGTTGGACAAAACTACACACATTTTTGTCTTATTAATTTTGGCATCCAATATGTTTATTTTGAAGTTTTTAGTGTAACAAATATCTGTGTCATCGACATCTGCAAGTGTTAACAAATTTAACTCTTTTTTGTGTTTTAGTAAAAGCAACACATTTTCTGAATTATCATATGATGAAAGGCCTGTAATAGGTTCATTAAACTGTTGATTTATTTGCAGTTTCTTGTTCTTCCATGGATTTTCCACATTGATAAGCCCTATTATTGCAATGATAATTAAAACTACATTAAAGGAATCTATACACTTACGTAAATTATTTCTGCAGTCTGGTCGTACTAAATAAAATCCTGTATCTAAGCTCAAGTATTCTAGGACTCCACTTGCATAATAAGGATTATAATCGCAAGGAAACGCAGCTTCCCTACTTACATTATTGCAAAAATTCAGCATTCCCTTTGTAACTGTTGCATGTGAGTTTGTAAATGACTGATTCATGATTGTATTTTTGACCACTGGGAAATCCTTGCTTAGAGAATTTAGTTGGTCGTTGTATGTTTCAATATCCTCATTGTATTTACAAATTACGTCCGTCTTCGAATATCGTAATGGTTTGTGTATGGGGTACGGATCTTCAACGTATATTTTGAGTTCGGCATCGCTTAAAAAATTCTGAAACCAACTAAATTAATATAATGATCCACTAACGGGGTTGCTTTTACCTCACTGAAGTCAAGGTTTAAATAATGGGGGCATAAATCGTCATCGAGTTTCATTTTGTGCGGTTTGTTTTCGTTTTTTAAATCTAACCTTACTCTAACTGGGGATTTAATTAGTGACAGTTTTTGAAGGACGAACTGGGGGTGGTTAAGGATACTCTAAATGGCGGCAAGGAGCATTGCTGTTTTTCAATTTTTAAAAATTTTTATTAACTTTTAATTCAAATTCGCTCCCCATGTTACCCATTATGGAGTTCTATTTGCAGTACGTTTATAATTTTAAATTTTATAAAAGAAATTAATTTTTTGTATATGCAACCAACAATATAGTAAAGAGTGAAAATACGAGATGAACGTATTATTTATTTTTATCACCCATTCTCCGATCTAATTTCTGGTTCGCCTAATTTCAAGTTCGCTTTTTCCATTTTACAAATTATACAGAGTTAGTCACTAAGAGCGCGGTCCTCGATAGCTCATTAATTATACTCCCTAGTGATGTAAAAAGACCGTATTTTATTTTTGCGGTATAAAACCATGGTATAATACCGTTTTATACGGTATTTTATATGGTATTATATTCAAATTTTGGCGCCAACATTTTTCATTTTTAGCTTTATGGTAAACCTCATCTGGTGATTTACTAATTAGTAGGGAAATAAAACAAAAACACTTCACGAAGAATGTATTATAAAAAAAAAACAATAAACCATGTAAATATGAAAATAAGACATTTTTCTACTCTATGAAAAAAAAACTATGTGAATATGAAAATAAAACATTTTTCTCCTTAATTAAAAAAAAATTTACAAAAGTAGAGACTATTGTTTTATTGATCTTCATCAACTACGTGCAGTATGAAAGCTTCTTCTACCTCCATATCGGAGTCTTCATTTGTTTCAGATTCATCAACGTCAATTTGAGGATATTCTCATTGTCATCCTCATAATCATAAATATTAGTTTGCAATGATAAATTGCTTTTAATGTAATAATAAGTTAAAAAAATTACGATTGACATAACCTAAAAATTTAATTTTATACCAGTGGTATAAAAACATTTTATACATACCGTATAATACGGTTTTAAACCGTGGTATTATACGGCCTGTATTATACACTCACATCACTAATACTCCCCATAGAAATTATCGCATCGCTCTCAAAATTTTGTATATTTCCAATTTGAATGTATGTAAAAGAAACATGTCGGTCGAAATTACATTAGATTTTGTCATTATTTGGCATTGTCTTACATACACTTATCGACGTATCCCTAATATACAGAGTTAGTCACGAGAGAATTACTTCTGAAAATAATTTTTACGCAACCCAAAATACTAATACCCTGTACCACTTGATACATATTAGGGGCAATTCTGAATGAAACCTGTTAAAATTTAAAGGTTGTTAAAAATCAAGATTTTTGTCGGATGTGTATTTAAATTGGTATTCCGGATCCCGATAAATTAACACCATGTTAAAATTGACATATTTTTATCGGATCCGTTTAAATTTTCGGAAGACTTCGTTAATTTGGTTTAAACGAACTACCCAGTGTGTTTCGTGGCCTATTTTAGGTTAAAGATGCCTTGACTTTACTATCATAAATTCAAATTTTGTTGGAATTGAGCTTCTTAAACATAAAATCTGGTATAGATAAATTATAATATAAAATTAAGAAGCAGACGGAGACGGACCGAGACCAAGTGGTACGTGCTCAACGGTGATCACAATTTGTGAGGTTAGGAATGCAATTAGTGAATCAAAACATTCAAAACAAATCCAAGTTTATTCTGGATTTTTGGATAATTTATAATTTGGCATCAATTACCATATTTAACTACAGGAAGCCACTTATAAGAATATAAGAAATTAACTCCACGGTAAATAAGTTTATACTCAAGTAAACTGAAGTATTGGTTTTAGGTTATGAAATTTTATCATCCGATTTGATGTTCATATTGAACAACACATAATAGTTATATATGTGATTGCTTTTCTGAAATTAGCTGAAAATGATACGTTTCCAAAAAAATCCAGTGTCTTGAGGGAGAAGTGTTACTTTTTATTAAAAACGCACCAAATGATAACTTTTTATTACTTGCATAAAGTTGCTTCAGTAACGAGTGCTTTTTGTGGTTTAATGCGGGAGGAACTGGCCAAGCTGCGCATCAACAACATTGAAGACAGATGATTGTTTCAGTGGTCGAAATAGCAGACTGGTGCCTCGAAAAGCTTCACAATCATAAAAGAGGACAGTATAGGAGCGTCAAATTTAGTTAAGTAATTGAAAATTGTATTTTTTACTTGGGAAATGATAATAGAAATTATTTTCGTTATATTTTTAAGTAGGTATGAAATGTTTGTAAATTGTTAATTAAAATAAATTTTTTTTCCAAATGTAGTTATGTTGTTATTTAATAACCATAAAAATTAACTTGCAATTTGCGGGCAATTATTATTTGGAGCATTACGAGGGTGCTAATTGCTACCATTTCCAAGGTGTTATCGTTCAGTAATTGACAGGTGAAAAATAAATTAATCAACGGGCCTCACTTTTTTGCTGATGATTTATTAATAACTACTTACATTCTTTGTAAATTCTCTTCATAATTTACTATAAATAAATGCAAAATACCGTCCAGGTACGCCATTATTGTTTTTTTTGTTAATTAAAGGGTACTAGCGAGGGATCCTTTAAAACTGTCACTTTTAACGGATTCATTTAAACACCCTTGTTAAAATTTAACATCAATTTGATGTTTTAGAATAGTAAATTTTGATTTTGTCGGATGTTTAATTTTAAAGGGTGTTAAAATTAAACGGACTTCAAAATTAAACAGTACAGAATAGAGATTCATTTTTAACAACCTTTAAAATTTTAACAACCTTTAAATTTTAACAGGTTTCATTCAGAATTGCCCCTAATATCTAGATTTAAAATGAAATGCCTAATCCATGATTGCTTTGACTTTGGCAGTGTCACTTTGACGTTAATTAATTTTTAACATTTTTTTTTCATCGTTGACTCGCCTCTAGAGCCCCATTGGATCGACGACATACAGTCAGATCAATCTGGGCTATACTGAAGCCGTAAGTGCTCTACCAATGTTGTTCGCCGCCAATGTGCATCTGTTAATTCGCCATTTCTGCGTCACCTAGAGCCTCTTAGAAGTGCAAATCTGTAACCTCTGGACTTCTTCGGCCATCCATTTACAAAAAAGCCGTAGCATCCCCCCAAAATGCCCAACATTTTCAACAGATTAGTAGTTAAACTATTTACTTACTTGTTTGAGTTTGTGTTGTAACCTTTGAATAAAATGCCGTACAAGGAATTTTTAGAAATAATTTTCTCGTGATTAATCGGTTGTAAAAGATCAAGAGGCACACTGACAAATTTATTAGCGGCGCCGGAGGAGATTTCCGACTGGCTGCGGTACCATCATGGACACTCGCGTAACCTCATTTTCCACAATTGTCAAAATGAGATTGCCAAACTCAAAGCAATCATGGATTAAGCATTTCATTTTAAATTCAGTTAGTATCAAATGGTACATGGTATTCGTATTTTGGGTTGCGTAAAAATAATTTTCAGAAGTAATTCTCTCGTGACTAACCCTGTATATTATTATGCTCCGAGTCTCCTCTCGACGACCATCCTTTCCAAACACCTTCGGCCAGCAGTGAAACAGAATTTTCCCCAGTTTCGGCTGAGGAGGTTTCTGCGGCCAAGAAGGGTTGGCCACGTTCCGCTCCTGGTCGGGATGGAGTGACGGTGCCTGCTGTTTCCAAGTGTAGCAACAACATCCTTGCTGCGCTTTTTAACCTTATTTTAGTCAGCAGGTATCAACCGGTGGAGTGGCGTGCCATGCGAACGGTGTTGATCCCGAAACCTGGTAAGAACAGGAAAGACGCCTCTAATTGGAGACCGATTACTATTGGGTCGTCTATTCAGCGGCTGTTTCATCGCATTCTCGCAAACCGCTTATCATCTCTGGTCCGGCTCAACAGTAATCAGCGAGGTTTCGTGACGACTGACGGAACCCTTGCCAACACTCTTATTCTTGACTCCTTAATTAATGGTAGGACGCAGGCTAGAAAAGGAACATCTATGATATCTATGGATATTCGAAAGGCCTTTGACTCCGTTTCCCATCATTTCATAATCAGAAGCCTTCGAAGATTCCAGATATCGCCTTATGTTATTGATTACATTCAGGCAACTCTCACCTCGTCTTCTACCGTTTTTTGTGTTGGCCAAAAGAAGTAGGAATCGGTCCCGATTAACAGAGGCGTACGCCAGGGGGATCCAATGAGTCCTCTCCTATTCAACATTGTGTTGGATGAGTTGGTCGGGAAGCTGTCTAATATTTCTGAGGGTTGTTCAATGGGTGATGGGGTCAACTGTTCCGTGATGGCTTTCGCCGACGACCTTGTTCTCCTCGCCGAGACCGAGAGGAGTCTTCAGCGTTCCATCAATATTTCCACCGAATTTTTTACCCACAGGGGTATGGCCGTTAACCCTTCGAAATGTTACGCCCTAATCAAACATAATATTAACGGCGCAGTAGTGCCACTCACCAATTCCTCCATTACCATCCAGGGTCGACAGGTCACCCACGTTTCGGATGTGAATCCGATTCGCTATTTGGGACACCAGTTTGGAAGCCAAGGACAGATGAAGCCTTGCTTGTCCAATTACCCCGTATGGCTCCAAAGGTTAGTCGCCCTCCCGCTGAAACCGGATCAAAAATTCTCTCTGCTCAAGACCTACCTGCTTCCCAGGATAATGCACTCCTTGATGGGCACCAAGGTTACCAAGGAAGTCCTGGGAACCCTGGACAAGATGAACAGACATTACACTAAGAAAATCTTACATTTACATCTACATACCTCTAAGGAGCTAATCCATGCTCCCATTAGGGAAGGCGGGTTAGCGGTATGTCAACTAACTGTTTCTGTTCCTCAGATTCTTCTTAGTAGATTGTCCAGGTTGCAGAGTAGAGAGGCTGTTGATCCGGTGGTTGCGGCCATGTTAACGTCGCGGCGGGTTTTCGACTTCAGGGTGCGCTTACAAAAGATGGTGTCCCAATTCCCTGCTGGAGGACATAGGGAACTTATGGAGAAGGGCGTATTTTCGAAGGGTCTTACCTGTGCCAATCAGGACTCCGCTTCCAGATATTGGATAGGTACGAGACCTGCTAAATGGAGCGCCGGCGATTGGGTGCG